TTGTGTGTGCTCTGGTATGTCCTCTTAGTGGTGACAGTATTTTTGCCAAGTGTTGAGCCAACTTATAAGTTGGTGAATCGATCTGGCTTACTATAGGACGTAGTGGAGCGTTTGGTTTGTGTATTTTCGGTAACCCATACAACCTCGGTGGTTTGACACATGATGGTATTGTCGAATTCACGTCAAGATCTAATTTTTCGGAGTATTTATTTATTAAATCAGTAGTTGTTTTGAGTGTATTAGTTGTAGGGTCTATTTTGACCTTTTTGTATGTACTTACGTCCGATAAAAGTTGTTGTATTTTGAAATTATACTCTGACGTGTCCATTATTACCGTAGCATTTCCTTTATCCGCGCGGAGAATAGTGAGCTCTGGTCTGTTGCGTAAGTTGTACAACGCTTTAAATTCGTCTTTGGAAAGATTTAGTTTCGGCGCTGAACTTCGACGTAACAAGGACGAAATGTCTTGACGTATAGCCTCTAAATCCTCTTTACCGATATTATTCTTAAACAGACAATCCTCAACGCTACAGATAATTTCTTCGTACGGGATTTTTTGCGGCGTTATAGCAAAATTTAAGCCTTTCGACAATACATTTATTGTAGGTTCGTCCAGTTTATCTTTTGACAAATTATAGACCGTGCGTTGTTTATTGTTTGCGTCTGTGGTCAACGGTTGTTGCGTTTCGTTTCTACGTTGACATGGATGTTTGGCATTTGATTTGATAGTTAATTTTTGGTATTTTTCTATTTGTTTGTCTTTGCATTCATTGTATTTCGATATTTCGCGTTTGTTTAAAGTTTCAATGCAATTATTAAAATCAAATGTCGTTAAAACTGTCTTTAACTCACTGGACAAATTGTCTATGGTATTATTTATGATTTGTAAATCGAACCGTTTTTGCTGAATCACCGTTCGTAACAACTTTTTACTTGCCTGATTTAAGATCTTAGCGCTTCCTCGAATGTCCTTTTTAGTAGATATTTTGACGCACGTTGGAATGAGATGGTGATCGCGGCACCGCTTTAGAAAGTTCAATGCTGTTACATATCTTGCGCGCTTGGTCATGAGATCTTCTAATCGGCGAATTTTATTTGCAATTACCAGTCCGTACTGGTTTACATAATGATTTCTTATATTTACGCGAACACTACACATTTTAAATAAAACTAATTTTACGGATTCTATCGCGTATATTAACTTATTTTTATATATTCCCGACGTTTCGGGTGCTTTCCAGCACCCGTGGTCACGGGGGACTGAGTTGTTTGACGTCCTGTTGTCATAGTTAGCCCGGCTACCTTCAGTTTTTTAATATTAATTTTTGGTTCGATTTACGCAGAATGAGCTTACAGTATCTTGAAGTCTAGCAGTGGTATACTTGGGTTTGGATTTGATTTTATTAATAATGGGATCCCAAGCAGATGGCAGCACCCATCCATCTTCTCTATTGAAATTAGGATGTTTTTTAATTTCAATAGCCTCGCGAATCATCCTTGGGAGGAATCGGTGTTCTTTTGCGAGGATTTGTGGTCTATCAAATCTAATGTAATGGCGGGGACGATCTTGAACATGTTCACAAACTGCAGACTTCCCGATACGTCGGTGCTTCACGTCAGCTATATGTTCTTTAACGCGGGTTTTAATAGATCTTTTTGTTTGTCCTATGTACGAGAGACCACATTCACAATCCAGCTTGTACACTCCTGCATCTTGTAGAGGGATTTGACACTTGACGGATGGTAAAAATTGACTAATCTTCTTCAGCGGCTTGAAGTACGTTTTAATGGAAGCTCGCTTCAAGATGTAGCCAACCTTGTCTGTGACTCCTCTGACATAGGGTAGTACAGCAGGCACACGCTCGACTGTGGCTGGCTTCACTCGGTCACTGTGACGTAGGCGCGGGACCCGAAGCTTGTTGTCTTGCAGTACTTGCTCGACGTGCTGAAGCTCGGCGGCCAGATGTTTTCTGTCACAGATCCCTCGTGCTCTCTGAAACAAAGATTTTCCCACGGTAGCTAACTGTGAAGGATGATGGTGAGATTCACCATTTAAATATCGGTTGGTATGGGTATTTTTTCTGTACACAGTATGACCAATAGTGTTATTAGGATTTCGGATGACTAAAACATCTAGAAAAGCTAAAGTATTGTTTGCCTCTAACTCCATTGTGAATTGTATTTTAGGGTTTATGGAATTAAGGTGGTTTAAAAATGCAGTTACTTTGTCAGATGGTAAAATTGTGAAAGTATCGTCTACGTACCGCTTGTAGAATCTTGGATTTACAGGAGCAGTAAGAAGGGCTTTCTCCTCAAAGTCCTCCATGAATATGTCGGCGACTACGGGAGATACAGGTGAGCCCATTGCCACTCCGTCTACTTGCATGTAGAACTCTTCTTTCCACAATAAATAGCCAGATGTGAGGCAGTGTTTGAGTAATACTGCATATTCTGTAGGCATGTTGTTATCTTCTAGCTTTCTAGTAACAATTGAGATGCAGTCTTCAATAGGTAGGCATGTGAATAGTGACTGAACATCAAAACTGACCATAGTTTCATTGTCAGCGAGATGTAGGTCTTTAATCTCACTAACAAAATGGTATGAATCCTTTGTGTGTGCTCTGGTATGTCCTCTTAGTGGTGACAGTATTTTTGCCAAGTGTTAAGCCAACTTATAAGTTGGTGAATCGATCTGGCTTACTATAGGACGTAGTGGAGCGTTTGGTTTGTGTATTTTCGGTAACCCATACAACCTTTTGTTGAAAAATTAGATCTTGACGTGAATTCGACAATACCATCATGTGCCAAACCACCGAGTTTAAGCTCTGCAAAAAGGGTCTTGAGGCCGTTTACTATAGCATCAGCTGTCCCGTTTTCTATCTCAACCAATCCTAAAAATGTCGTGATAATATTTTTATGTGAACTGTCATAATATCGGATTGATGTGCCGAGAATTTTTGTGACTGAGATGTCTGTGGATTCGTCAACCAGTATACTAAACTTATTATGGCCTATGTCTGCAACCAATTGTGAAATAAAGTGTGGAGCCAATGCAAATTTAATGATGTTGGTACATTTCGTTCGGTGTAATTTAATATCGGCACTTCGACTATCAGAAAATGTTTTTTTACACATTTCGGACAAATGGTCCACTGTTAGAGTAGATGCATGTTCACTTATAAATAATGCAAGTGAACACTCTGCTTTTTGGGTAACTAGTTGAATATGCACCTTAGGAAAATCAATTTTTTTTTGACTTTTTTTCGGCGCAACATGTTTCGCATGTTTTGATGTAACAATGTGTTGTTTTAGACAGGATACTTTGGCTATAATGTCGCACTTACAGTATTTGCAGTAAGCTTTGGTCGAATCTTCTTTAGCTCGTGTAAGCCATTGTTTAAACTCACTCATCTTCTCCCACTCTTCTCGATAATGTTGTTCATATTTTGGAGGCATATTTTCCCTCAAAAGTCAATTGTAAACTACTTTTAAAGCACACACACACAAAACAAAAACACAGACGTTTATTTTAAAGCTTTTACAAGTATCGGTACTCGCACTTGTTAAGTAATGTTCTGAATCCGAATGAAACAAAACATTACACATTGCTTACTCGGAATACTAAACAAAATTTTTCACTATTCGGGAAATTCCCCAATTCATAACAGAGTTGCCATAATAATCAATCATAGTAACAATTTTAATTTTTTTGTCTATGGGTTTAATTCAATCTTTTGTACAGAATAATATATAATAGATATGGCAGTGATTGTGAACAATTTGTCTATCCCATAAAAAGAGTTAACATCATTAGTAGGTAAAATTCGAAAGATGCTTAAATATGCAATATGCTAAAGCCAATTTTTTCATGCCAACAGATTTAAAAATATGCCAAATTTAGCATTAAAAATGCCAAATCGGCAACACTGGCTGGCCGGCAAGCTAGCTCAACGTTTTAAATCGGTACTATGAACTCACTTTTGACGTTTGTAACAGAGTTGTGACCCGTTTATTGAACAGTGTATCTGTCATATTAAACACTTCAATAAAAGTTGCTTGGTGGGAGCTTTTTCTGAATCGTTAAATATTCTAATAGTATAATAGTAAGTATTAAAAGTGTTTCTTGAAGTTATACATGCTTAATTGGGTTTCTTGCTTTAAAATTGTTATATTATTTACATAATATACATATTAAAATTCTCTAATTGTTCTTTGTGCATTAATTTCAGTGTCTAATGATTACGAAACTTTTGAGTTCCTCAAAGAGTACAATGAAAGCAAAATTATGGAGGACAAAATTGAAAGAACAATATTACGGAGCTAAATCGACCCGTTTTCGATCGGTGACGGTGAATTTGTAAAACGATATAGTTTAAGCAAAAACAGTGTTGGAACTTTGTGATGATTTAAGACCTTGTATGACAAAGCCTGCTAAGTTTACTGATTTGTCGATCGAAACCAAGGTTGAGTATTAATTAAAACATTCATTACTAGTAAAACATTACTAAAAGTGATGTGTATTTAATGCAGTTTTAGCAAAAATTCGTACTGAATATTTTTTATATTTTTTTACAGTTTTTACAATTATTTTTAGGTCTTAATTGCACTGTCTCTCTATGGTATGCTCCCATTGAGAACAATATATATATATATATATATATATATAAGATTTCCAAGAGCTGCTTGCTGTACATATAAGTACAAATTTAATACATTATTTTAATTGATTATAACAACAACTTCTATTATTAGAACTATTGAACATTAATAATATCTACCATTATATCATGCAGCAAGCTCAGCAAAGATTTATAATTAATATGACATTGTAGATTTTACAACAAATTTGAGATGCCTGGAGATTTAGGCTGCATTGATTTTACATATGTGGCAATGATCCGTCCTTCACAAAATGAAGAGAGACATTACTGTAGAAAACAGTACCTATCATTCTTTAAATGTGCAGTTGGTAAGAAATATTGTAATAAAACCACAAATTCAATAATGTAATTTTATTGATACATAAATCATTTAAACACTAAGTATATATTTGAATTAATATTTTAGATATGCAATATAGACATGGATATAATCAGTGTAGACGCAAGTTTGGGGAGCTTCACATGATGCTTTTATATGGGCTAATCACCCTTTGAAGGCACACATGGAAGGCCTCGGCACAAACGAGACGATATGCTTCTTGGTAATGACTTTAGATAATAATAAATAGATAGGTACATAATATACATAATTGCCATGTTTCAGATGTCTCCTAGTGCATAGTGTTACATGGTGGCTTCTATTATAAATGCATGTGTGATATTGCGCAACATATGCAATAAGACTAATGTCAGTGTAGAAGAGCTGCAGCCAGAGGTAGCTTTGTATGAGCATGAATCGCAACGATTAACTTCTCCCTGCCAGGATTCTGCAGTAAATTCTAGGGCCGCACAAAATCCAGAGCTCCGAGAAGGCATAACGGTCAGAAGTAACCTTATCAATCACCCATGGATATGTCGGAGGGCAACCTGAAAATAATTTTGATTTTAAAACTATGGTTTTTTTGTTTAAATTTTTCTATTAGATTTATAGAGAATATTTTGAAAAGATGTAAAATAAATATTAATAGTATCTAGAATACTTTTTGTATATCTCAAAACTTATTGAGTGACCTACGTATAATCTATGCAGTTATTCGAACAATTTATTCTACTTAGATATTTTTATGCCAATAAATGATAGATCATATAGGACATAACGCAATTTTTAACATCTTTTATGACATACTTATGAATTATGATCAACAAATAAATATATTAATATTATTACTATTTTCAAAAATTTAAATATTATACAAACTAAAAACTCTTTCTACTTTTTTATATCTATGTGGAGATTTTGGACTTATTCTCGCATTTATTTTGCTATCGTAATTTATAATAATCATCAAACGGTGCAAATTTATAATCATTTAAGAAATCAGTTAAAAATTGTAGAGCCTTAATAGCTCTGAGACTAAGCGCTTGCCGAATATTTCACAAAATGTATGCAAACAATTTGGGTTCGATCCCTGTCAGCAGTGAAACTGTTAATTGAAATTTTTAGTACTGATTTACCCTTAACTTAATTTATTCTATGTACAACATAAATATTTCTAAGCAACCTTCTCTCAATGCGTTCCAAAACATCTTGAATTCGATGAAGAACTTGCACGAACTCCGTAATATTGCGGCTATTACGAGCCTCCGTTTCAGCCCGCAATTGGGACGTTTCAACCAAGGCTCTTCTTGCTTCTTCCTGAGTAATACGCACACGTCGATTGCGTCGTCTTCTTTGTTGTTGTTCACCTCCAGTTTGTGCAACAGAAACCGCTTGTGTGGGATGTGCCTCTGGAGTACTTGTAGGTGCAGTATGAGATATACAAGGCTCAGGAGCATGTACGTCTATAAGTACTGGTGGTTCACTTTCAGTCTCTAGCTGTTGCTGCTCTTGAACCAGTGAACTCCTGAGATTAACACCTTCAATGATTTCAATGGTATTAAGAACAACTTCTTGTTCCAAGGACTGTTGGACCTCCTGTAGAGGTATTTGGGACATATCTGAAGTCGATGCAACCTGTAAATAATATAAAATGTGATGAAGCAATTATCATTACGAATTAAACTCTTTTGTCGCTACAAAATGCATGTAGCGGGATTTGTGTACATTGCACAAAATTTAATCAATATATCTACAAATAACTAAATAAGTTATCGCGAAGATAGATATCTTAGCTTAAGTCAAATAAAATTTTAAACTTTGGCCACCCCATGGTTAAATGAGATATAAGAAAAAACTTACATGAATATTTGAATCTTCAAATGGATTTACACGAATACCAGGAAGGCCCAAACCAAAATCTTCACCTACAATATTTAAAAACTTCTTTTCTAAAGTCGACAGCTGTGGAACATTAGATGGCTCTCCATCAGTTCGAGATTGCGCAGATCTAATAGTAGCACACCGCTTCTTCAGCTTCCCCTTGTAATCAATCCAGTACTGAAAAAATGAAAGCTATTTTGAATATTCATATAAATAATATGCGTTTTCAACTTCAACAGTCCATAGGCAGAAAAAAATTTACAATGATAAATATTTACTCATATAATACTTACGGCAGACCAGCCTTTTCCGTCCTTAACGGCACCATCTCCAAATGAATTGAGGGTTAGGGCTACCTCCTCCCACATGCGGCGGGAAGTTTCTCGAGCTTGTGCACTTTTATTAAAGCCCACTGCAACATCCCTATTGGAATTTAAAAACTCCCATAGGATTTCTAATTGAGAGTATGTTACGCGATGACGACGTTGTACTTCAGCCATTGCTTCTTTAGTAATGAAATCACATTTCGCCTTTAATCTTAACGAAACCACACAATTCCATTTAAATATTACGGTACGAAGGGTGCTTACATTTAAAATGGACATGGTAACTAATTTATTATCCACTTGACACACGAACATATTACTCGTATAATAAATTCTCAAAAAGAGCACACAAACTAAATTTCGCCTCGACTTAAGTGACTTTACACCATCAATCACATCTCAAATTGAAAACACATATTCAAAAAGCCACTTTAGTTTCTCGTCGTCATCGTAAATTAATAAACAAAACCCGTAGAAACAAAAAAAGGTTTTTGTTATGTTTGAATATCTTAAAAACATATTACTACCTCATTTCAAATGGTAATAATTTAATACATTGTTAATTTATTTAGTATTAAAAAACTACAAGAATATAGGTTTCACTATCAGACAGACCTTAAAATTAAAGAGATAAACTTATATAACATTTGTATAGCGTCCTCTCACTCGAACGGTTAGCCAAAACAAGACAGAGACAACGCTAACCCGTGAGCAAAGCCGTTATATGGGTTTAAAACAGTTGAGCTAAGCGTAGTTCATAGTACCAAATAAAGCATTTCAGTTTAAGGTCAGAAACTGAACTGCTCGGAACTTGCCAAGTTTTATAAACACTTCGTAGTAGGCCCCCAGTACAGAGAAATGGAGGGCAAGCAAGTAGATAAAATGCATATTATTGAATAATTTATTTAGTTAGTAAAGTAAAATAATAATACTGAATAGAAACGTGTCCGATAAAATAAAATATTTTTATTAGTTTTATTATATATTCTAAATAAATTATTTACGAAGACGCGAAAAAAAACTATCAGATAATTATTTGTAATCCATAACTTCCATACCAGTTATTTTATCAAAATCGTTCGTCCCTGTATCACTGCCATCACTACATTCTGTGTTTTTCACAAATTAACGAACGTAAAAAGTCAACCGAAACAAAAAATTAACAGTAACAAAAACAATAACAAAAACAGTAACAAACAAGAGATCGTACTAGAGCACAAACAGTAGATACATTTCAGCGTTGCTATCGGTACTATATGGGCGACGGTTGTGGCGCGGTATGAGGGAGCGCGGCGGGAGGTAACGGCATTCATGAAGTGAACACGTAGTATTAACATAAACATAATTTCATCAAAAATAAGTAATTAAAATATTAATAAAAAAATATGTTAATTTGTATTATTCCAAAACTTTTTTAATTATTAGTTCTATTTATGTAGTTGACGAAGTTTACTTCCGGTTGGTGACGCCATTGTTCGTCACTAGGTGGAGAGAGGGAAAAGGCGAAACTGCAAGCAGTGGATAGATTAATTATAGTGGGAAGCTTTAGGGTCGAAAAGATTACTTAATCAAACGATACTCGAATTTATGTAATTATATTTATATATTACCTTTGGGTCATCGAATATAAATAAAGATAAAAACTGCAATGTGCATGTACATGTGTAACTACAGGTAAAACCCGCTCTAAATGAAAAAGAAAGACAGGCTGTGTTGAAAGAATTTAACGCAAATGCTTTGGATGTCGATTTAGTGCAAATGGTTTTATCAAACCCCAAATCAAAGATCACAAGAGGGTTATTCCGGCTTGTTTCTAGGACGGAATAATTATCTTCTCTTCTTCAGTATAAGTTTCTTTTGAGGTTAGTAATATAATTAGTACACACAATTATACATTTTTATTTTGTTCTAGTGTTAGCAGTAGTTACTATAAAGTATGATGGGATTGTCATGTCATTTTCACAAAAGTCCCAAAAAAATTAAAGAAAAAACAAAGTCAAACTCGCTCGACTTTGTGAATTGTAAATACTATATAGTTCATTAGTTTGTAGCAGGCTGTTTTCTGCAATTCCACGTTCAAAGCGCTTATTTTGCGTGTGACCAGGAATATTTTTGTTATTCAAGCCATTATATCTCGAAGAACATTACTAAACCCTTAATGTTACTGAAGACTTCACTGCTTGCAGGACTATATACCTATATGGCATAGAAAATTAACACAGTAAGTGACAACCCCTATGTGTCTTCTTCTTATTTTGTGATGGTTTGGTTAAATTCGCTAATGACGTATTGAATGAAAAATGAATACTGGTTATTTAATTAAAATTTCTATGATAATGCAAGAGTTTACATTTCCTGCTAGGATTTTGGCAAATCTCTCTGGTTGAGTTACCTAGAACAAATGATAAAATGCCGAGGATTTCAAGTTTTGTTGTTATGGCTGCAGCACGAATGCGTCTGCTCGACCGGGGTGGGACGACGCTCTCAGAGAATACCAGCGTAAAATAGCAGCTTAATACTACTGTGTTTCGTATGGTGAGTGTAGAGAACCGGTGGCCTTTTTTACTGGAAACGAGCCATTCCATCTTAATCCTTAGGGGTGACAATGCACCTACATTTTGTTTCTTAATTGAGGATAGATGTAGACACTTATGGGCTACAGCAACCACTTACCATCGGCTGGACTGTGTGCTCGCTTAATCTATATAAAAAAAAGAAGTTTTGTCAGTCGGAACAAGTTGCAATGACAGTTTCCGCACGTGTACTGAACAACTATTTTTAATACAGTTGCGAGGAAATGAAGCAATTTAATAAAGAACATTTTTGGAAAATGACGCCAATCGTAAAAGAATATAAGCAGAGATTTTTTTTTGTTTTCTTCACTCATTCTGGGTGGGCAAAGGGAACTATGTCCATACAGCCAAGTCTTCAGTAGAATTTTTTTATTGATATGAAGTGGAAATTAAATTTAATAAGATGAAATGATATGAAACTTAATCTAACTCATTGATTCAAATCATTAAATCTGATTGTTGTGGATCGCAGTGGACTGTATGGTTTTACTATGGCGAGTGGACTGTATTACTGACTTCGCTAGGGAACTGCTTAAAGAAAAGATGGTACTGTCGAACTATACTGTATTCAATACTATTTACAATGTGGCACTATTAACTACACTATATACAGAGGGGAGTCTTCTTAATTTCTATGGAGTCTTGATTCTTCTTGATTTCTCTTGCTGTTTCTTCTCTTCGAGTGCCGCTTCCGAAATGAACGACTCACAGACCAAAACGCCCTTCTTATATGCCTCAAGAGAGCGTCTTGGTTCGTGAGTAGCGTCGTAAGGCGATGCCGCGCGCTGATTGGTCGGCGACATCGCGTGATCTGCTGCCGGTGTGCGGGGTGCGCGGGGCGCACCGGGGTGTGAAGGGGCGGCGGCCTCCTCGCTGTCCGCTACATCCTCCCCCCGGCGTAGCCTGCGAGCCTAAGCTTCTCTCGGGAGGACGGCGATCTTCCGGACGGGCCGCCGCAGCACTCCTCCCTTGGTCCGGACCTCGACGTTGCGCACCACGCCGTCTGGTCCAGGAAACGTCTTCGTTACGATGCCCCGCGGCCACACATTCCTTGGTAGTTTGCTGTCCGCAACCACGATGAGGTCCTCTTTCTGTATTTGGCGCTGCTGAGCATCTCTGGAGTCTCCGCGCGCAACCAGCGTCGGCAGGTATTCCTTAACCGAGTGCCTCCAGTACTCGTCGGCGAGCCCCTGCGCCGCTCTCCACGCCCGACGATCCATGGGTGTGCACGGCGCGGTGACTGGCAGGCCCGATGGTCCCAACAGTAGGAAGTGGTTGGGTGTCAGCGCCTCTTCATCGTTGATGTCGACCGGTACGTGCGTCAACGGTCGAGAATTCACAGTATTTTCGGCTTCAGTCAGAAGCGTTGCCAACGTCTCTTCTCGTGGGCTCTTCTGATGGGAGAGTGGCTTCGAGTGCGGTCTTCACTGAGCGCACGAGACGCTCCCATGCGCCTCCCTGGTTAGGCGCACCCGGTGCGATGAACTTCCAATCGACGCGCCGAGTCAGCGCGTAATCCTTCAACTGTGGCGCCCACTCTTCCATTGCCCGTCGTAGTTCTGTATTTGCCCCATGAAAGTTAGCCCCATTATCAGAATAAATAACCCGTGGCCACCCACGCCTAGACGCCATGCGCCGCAATGCCGATATCGTCGAGTCCGCGGTCAGAGAGTAGACTATTTCTAGATGTACTGCGCGCGTCGTTAGGCACGTGAACAGTGCCACTCACCGTTTTTCGTGCCGTCGTCCTATCGTAACCGTCAGAGGCCCGAAGTAATCAATCCCGGTGTACGTAAATGGTCGCGCAAACGCCCCTAACCGTTCAGGTGGTAGGTCTCCTTTAACCGCAGGTCGTGGTGTCGCCTTCCGTACTCTGCATCGTAGGCATCTCCGCTCCGCTTCTCGTACTGTGGGTCGTAATCGGAGGATATGATACCTAGTGCGCAGGTCGTTCACCACTCTCTCTCTGTTGGCGTGGCTTGCTTCCTGATGCGCCTTCTCCACAAGCAGCTTTACAAATTGGTGACGTCCATTCAGGATAATGGGTCTCTTCATTTGACCGTCCACGTCGGCTGCGTCGATCCTTCCCCTGGCTCGTAGCACTCCATCCTCCAATATGGGGTCGAGCTTCCTTAGTGCGCTGCCGGTGGCCAAATTCCTTCCCCGCTGAAGGCGGCTGATGTCTTCAGCGAAGCTTTCTCGCTGGCTATGTTGTATCCACATCCGTTCTGCTCTCTGGATGTGCTGTCATGTCAGTCCTCGTGCTCTTCCTCGTGCCGCATCGATGAATTGTAGTACTCTCGCTGTGGCCCTGATTAACTTCTCGTAGGCAGAGAATCTCCCTATGTCTGGCAGGTGTGGAGCTTCCTGGGTGTCGCTCTGGTGCGCCACGATTTCCTCCAACTCTTCGTCATCCCCCGCCTTCTCTTCCTGTCGGTGAGGCCATCTGTCTTCATTCTCGTAGAGGAAGGGTGGTCCTGTAAACCACTTGTCGCTCTCTTGCTTAGTTGTGAAATTCATACGCGTCCCTTGATCCGCTACGTTTTTCGCAGTCGGTATCCACCTCCATTGCTCGGGTGATGTCTTCTCAGCTATCTCCCCTAACCGGTGAGCCACGTATGGAGTGTAACGCGCCGTATCATTCTGTATCCAGTGGAGCGCCGTAGTAGAGTCCGTCCAATATACGACCCTATCTGCTACCACTCTGTGTTCGCCCTGTACGAATTCCGCGAGTCGCGCGCCTATTAAGTTCGCCTGCAACTCTAATCGCGGTATACTTTGCGCTTTAATTGGAGCGACTTTCGCCTTAGCCGCCACTAATCGTACCCTAATCGTTCCGTCGCGATATCGTATACGCCAATACGCCGCGGATGCGTACGCACGTTCGCTCGCATCATTGAACACGTGAAGTTGACGCTCTACCACTCCCCCGTAGGAGCATAGCACCTTGGCAGTCGTAGTCGTGATACCTCCTCGACGACTCGCAGCCATCGCTGAAATTCTTCTGCTGCCTCCTCGGGTAGTTCGTCACGAAACTCCGGCGACTGGTCCATCTTCCGTTCAATCGTCCGTAGTCTTCGAGCTGCCATCTCGTAGCTGGGTGG